AGCTGGGCGACCCGAATGAAAATTGCAGTAGGCACGGCGAGGGGTCTCGCGGAAATACACCGGCAAAATGGTGGGAAGCTCGTCCACGGTAATATTACAGCGTCAAATATATTCCTCAATTCACAAGGGTACGGCTGTGTATTAGATCTTGGTGTAACCGAGATGATAGACACGAAATTCATGCCGAATGCACATTGCTATGCCCCGGAAATCAAGAATGCTAAAAACGTGTCCCAAGCATCAGATGTGTACAGCTTCGGGATTCTGCTGCTCGAACTTCTCACGAGAAAGGCCAGTGTTCACGTCCGGGATGGTCCTACTGCTGTTGACCTAGTCAAGCTGGTTAAGTCGGTCAAAAATCGGGAGAGGGCTTCCAAAGTTTTCGATGCTGGCCTATTGAAGCATCATGCGTCAGAAGAACAGATGGTTAAAGTGCTTCAAATAGGAATAAAATGTGTAGAGAAATGGATAAAAGGGAGACCTAAGATGTCCCAGGTGGTGAAGATGTTAGAGGAAATTAATCTGTTGGAACCGGTAAGTCGTGCCCATGTTGAGGATAGAAATGCCACATTTAACCTCGATATATTACGTGCTCCTGCTGAGATGCTCGGGAGAGGAGCATTCGGAACTAGTTACAGGATACTTTTAAGCAATGGACAGGCGGTCGTGGTTAAGCGGTTGAGGGATGTGATGGTCCCATTCAAGGTATTCGAAGAACATTTGGAGATCATTAGAAGAATGAGGCACAACAATGTCGGAAAACTGAAGGCGTACTTCTACACGAAAGGCGAGAAGCTGTTGATGTACGATTACTATAAAATGGAGAGTTTATCCGCTCTGTTGCATGGTATGTCGAACAAACCGATTTTAATGAATCATGTCCGTAATTTTCACTTTTTTCTAAAAATACTTCTGAATATAGGCAGTGACAGGATAACCTTAGACTGGGAAACTAGACTGAAAATCGTACTTGGTGCCGCAAGGGGTCTCGAGTATATACACAGACAAGACGGGGGTATGCTCGTGCATGGAAACGTGAAATCCTCAAACATTTTCCTCAGCACACAAAAATACGGCCTTGTCTCAGATGTAGGGTTGTGGAAGCTCATAGGCACAAGGACAGTCTCCCAGTCATCAGATGTCTACAGCTTTGGAGTTGTGATGCTTGAATGCCTTTGTAAAATTCCGTCTCAAGTCTCCATGGGAAGTGTCCGAGCCATGTCCCTTGTCGACTTGGCTCGGTTGATTATCCGGAGTACAGACTTGTTTGATCCACTGCTTGTGGGGAAGAAAGCAGAGGAGGTGGAGGAGATAATGGTTAGAGTATTGCAAATGGCAATGGATTGTGTTGCTTTCCCACCTGGACGCAGGCCTCGGATGTCTCGAGTTGTGAGGATTTTGGA